CACGGCATATCACGGGTGACGTTGGCCTGGGTCACCGGTCGAGGTGGCGTTTGCAGGTTTCTCCGTGTGCAGTTGCTCTCGTGGCCCCCGTCCCGTGCTGTGTCTGGAGGGAAGTCTCTGTGTGCAGCGCGTGCTCGGGGCCGGGAGCGAGGCCCTCCTGGAGGCAGAGTCTCCGCGTACAGCGTGCGGAGCTGCACACGGGGCTTGTCTGTCCTCCCCGTCCATTTACTCAGTCATTTATTTATGGCGGTGCAGATCCTGGACGTCTGTTGCACACTCTGGGCTGCAGGCCGGCACTGCCTCGTGCCCGCTTGGGCAGCACGTGTGCCAGCACTACTGCGGTTCTTCTGTTGCTCACGTCCTGCTTTGGCCACTGGGAGCTCTTCTGATCACCTCCAGCGTCCCTGTGATTCGGCCCCGTTGCGGGTTTTTGGAGCACTTTTAAAATTTTCTGGCACTGCAAGCTGTTCCATTCACATTTCGTATATTTCCTATTCTCATTCCGAAATCAGCCATTTCTCCAAGGAGCCCTGGTTCCTTTAATTGGAGAATGGTGTTAGAGACCAAGACCTGGGAGCTGGCTGTGCTCCTTGACCCCGGGGTGTTACTGCTTCTGGGCCCTCTCAGCTGACAGAGGAAGGAAACATTTATATGTGTGTACCAACAGGCGTGCATACACATGTCTATAAATATTTCTATGTGCGGCCATCTGTGTCTGTATTAAGCTAAATGCGAGTTCATACTGATGTCTCCACCTGGACTCTGTTATCTCAGGGATTCATGCAGCCTCCTGCCCTGCAGAAGGGAGAACCCTGGCCCTGCTGCCCACCACCCGCCCGTATGCTGAGTCCAGCGCACACATACACAGTCTCGGAACTGCAGCCCCAGCCCCCGCGGCAGCAGCTGTATTGACAGAGCTCAGCACATGTGCAGTCCCATCCACCAGAGTCGCTCAGGCCCCTCTGGCCCTCCTCCTCGGACTGCACTGTCGCGTGAGCGGGGATGAACATGTTTTCATACTTTTGGGGATGAATATGTTTTCATATTTTTAAGAGTCCTTTGTACTTCCTTTTTTGTGAATTGTTCTTATCCTTTGCTGACTTTTCTGTTTCTGTTTTCTTCTTGTTGATTGTAGCTCGTATCACAGGGGAAAGCTCATTTCCTCAAATGTCTCTCTCGTGTTGTGATTTTGCCCGTTGGTTTTGTGCACGGGATGCGTTTTGTCCTTTCGCCACACAGAAGTGCTCCCACATCTCTAGGCTGTTGCAGTCGCCACTCACTCAGCAGCCCTAGACCTGCTGCTGTTTCTGTCATCGTGAAACCAACTCTTTGTCCTCCCACCTAGCCCTGGGATGCACCCTGCTTACCTTTTGCAGAAGAGTGGTGTGAGTTAGTGGGGCACAGTCCCCAAGACACCTTCACTTCTGACACCAAGTGCAAGTTTGGGGTCCCCAAGACCACCCTTAGGTCTGGTAACTCACTAGGAGGACTCACGGAACTCACAAAAGCTGTTGTACTCATGGTCTGGTTTATTACAAGGAAAGAATACAGATCCAGAAGGGTTTCAAACGTGAAGCTTCTGTTGTCCCCTTCCCTCGAGTCAGGACAGCATCACGTTCCCAGCATCGATGTGTGACAACACACAGAGGACTGTCAGCCATGTGGAACCTCCATGTGGAGTCTCTTTTGGGTTCCACGAAGGCACAGTCAACACCTAGGGGGCCATTCAGCCCCCAACTCCTCCAGAGGTCAGCTGACACCACATGGCCTGAGCTCCCACCCCGTGTTACGTTGTTGGTGTGGGTCAAAGCCCCACACCCTAAAATCACTGTTAGATGATTAGCTGGCAAGTCCCCAGGTAAACAAAGACACTTTTCTCAGGCAGGATGTTCACCTCCCAGAAGCTGAGGTCGGAGGCCAGAGATGCATTTCTTACCACACAGGTGGTCCCTGCGTGGTGCCCGCTCTCGGTCCCCAGCAACTTCCATGTGGCAGATCCTGTGCTCAGCCTCGGCTGCACCTCTTCTTGCCGACCCTGCGTGGCTCTGTGAGGCAGTGGCACACTCTTCTGAGTACTTACCGTCTGCTGGGCACCGTGCAATGGCCTTGCAGCAGTGATCTCATTCCTCTAAGACGAGCAAAGCCCTCTCCTGGGTCCACTTCCCCTCCTGCCGTTGCCCCTTCTCAGCTCCCCTTCACCCCAGAGCCTTTGGGCCTCACATCCACACTCTGTCCCTACGCCTCGCCTCCCGTCCTCTCTGAAGCCCTTTCCAGTGTCCGGCTTTGGGCTCATGGAGCGGGGTCCAGCTGGAATTTTAATGAGGAATTGCCTTGAGTGTACACATCATCAGTCTGTGAGAGTTGGCAGTCTGCTGCTCTCTGTAATTGAACATTGGGTTGTTTTTTAATCTGCTATTTGTAACCTAGTCTGGAAAATGTGCCAAAGCTGTGAGTCCCTTCACTAGAAAAGTGGGCACGCTCACCTACCATGGGACCTCAGACCCGTGGATCCCGCAACAGCCTCTCCTCAGCCTCCTCCCGTTGGTGCTGCTGCTGCCAGATTGGTCTTTCCCTGTTCCAGAAACTGGTTCACGACATGGAGTCACTCTTGACAAATTGGTGACGTCTGTGGTGCAAGTCCACCCTTTTTGGTTTTTGTGGGTTTGACTGTTTGAGTCCAGGCCACCGCACTGCCATGGTGCCTGGGCAGGGCTGCACCCCAAGTCCAGCGGGCACTTCTGTGAGCTGTCCTTCCTGGTGGCTACGTCTCTGCTCCAGTCCTCAGGGCACCTGTGGGGCCACCCTTGGTGCTTGAACCTGATGGGAGGGGCCGGTGTTCTTGTCCACTGCAGAAGGCGGGCAGTGAGCCCAGCTGTTTCCCTGAGCTCACTGGTAATGACAACAGTGACAATGACCATGGCTCCTGGGCCAGGCCTCATGCTGCCTCTCAGACCCTCCCATCTGCCGGGGGTGAAGGACTCCCCACCTTATAGGGGGAAGGTGAGGCTTAATGGCCACGCCCAGCGCTCCTCATGCTGACCCCTGTCCTGTGTCCCTGCTCCCCTGTCCATCTGCTGCCTTGGGGCCACCTGGTCCATCCATGAACCCAGGACAGTCTCCGTTCTCTGAACCTGTTTCTCCAAGGCCTGGTGCTGAGAGAACCGGCGAGTTTCTGAGCCCTCAGCCACCCAGTGAGTGGTGTCTTCCTTTTTGCAGGAGGCCACAGGGACTGCGGGTTCCCGGGCCATCAACAACCTTCGAAGATCCAACAGCACGACACAGGTCAACCAGCCGTGGACCGACTCCCCCAGGTAGAGTCGGCTGCTCCTGTCCTGCCCTGCGTAGCCCTCCTTCCAGCCTTGACGGGCGGGCACTTGTCGGGCAGTGGGGCCTGGAGTGGGAGGGCGGGAGAGACCAGACATGTCTTGGCTTGTCACGTCTGGAGACCAGGACCTTGAGGTGGACGTTCTGCCTGCTGCTGTTCCTTTCTTTGTTGGGCTTTCCCTGGGGGTACTGGGCTGGGGTGGGCAGAACAGGCGTGACCCACCTAGGGCTTTAATGCTGGGGTCTTCCAGCAGCCTTTGCCACTTGCCCTCTGAAAGTCAAAGTCTGCCTGTGCTCGAGGCGGCAGCATCGTGGCGCTTCTGAACCCTCCCCTCAGGAGCCCCTACACCGCCTTTGCCTGTTTAAACTCTGTGGCTGCAGGTTCCAAACCAAACCAGCTGGACTGGGAGGAGCTGTCTGGAGGCCCCATGAGGCCCTGGGGGGAGAGCGGGGCAGTGAGCTGGCAGTGGCCAGCACCCTTCAGGAGATGCCCCTGGGCCAAGAGTGGCTCAGGGGGCCCTGAAGCCACCTCCCACGATATGCTGTCCCCACGTGACCCTGAGTGGGCAGGGTGCTCCTGCGGGGTGCTGTACGTCTGTAGCCAGTGAAGCGCTGGGCTGGCCAAGGACAAAGGAGTGGAACCTGGCCTGGAGCAGCAAGAGCAGCAGCCACCCTGCCCAGCACAGTGTCTGGGGCCTCCACGGAGCCCCTCTCAGGCTCGGGAGCTGGCATCACAGTGTGCAGCCAAGAGAGTGGCTCCAGGGCCCAGGGGCACAGGGCTGGCCTAGGGAGCCGCAGTGGACAGCTTCCAGACCCGTGCAGAAATAAATTAGCCTCTTCCAAGGGGACGTCTGCTCCACCCTGCAGGCCACTGGCTGAGAACACTGGGTGTGTGTGTTGTGCTGTGTGTGTGGCATGTGTGTGTCTGTGGCATGTGTGTCACTGCTGGCTGTGTGTGGTGTGTGTGTCACTGCTAGGAGTGTCTGTGGTGTGTGTGTGCCTCTGCTGGATGTCTGTGGTGTGTGTGTATCACTGCTGGGTGTGTGTCTATGGCCTGTGTATGTCTGTGACGTGTGTGTCACTGCTGGGTGTGTGTCTATGGCCTGTGTATGTCTGTGACGTGTGTGTCACTGCTGGGTGTGTGTCTGTGGCCTGTGTATGTCTGTGACGTGTGTGTCACTGCTGGGTGTGTGTCTGTGGCCTGTGTGTATGTCTGTGGCATGTGCGTGTCACTGCTGGGTGTGTGTGGTGTGTATTGGGGGTGGGTATGTCTGTGGTGTGTGTGTGTGTCTGTGGCATGTGGGGTGTATGTGGTTTATATTTGAATCTCATGATTCTTCTACAGGCAATTTCTTTTCCAGAGCTTGTCGTCCGGTTGGGTTTTCTCTTCTGTGAGCAGCTCGTCCATGTCTGTGCCCCATCCCTCTACTGCAGTGGATCCCAGAGGGGTGTCCCTGGGCCAGCGGCGGAAGCAGCACTGGGAGCATGTTGGGAAGGGCTGTTCTCTGCCTGCCCGGACCTCTGCATCGGGGCCGGGTGGCCTGATGCTCTGAGTGTTGATAATCCCTCCTGGTGATTCCTCTGCGTGCTCAAGTTTGAGAAATGCTGGCCTTTTCCTTCTTTATTTTTAGGAGTTCATAATTATCTTAGGTCAGCTGTCTATGCTTAAATATCTTCTTCTAGTCTGTGGCATGTCTTTCCTCTGTAATTGGTGAACAGATTTATTTTAAAGTCGTGATTCTGGAAAGTCTGCAGCGTGCCCAAGGCAGAGCTGCTGCTGTCCTGGTGCATCCCCCTCCCTGTCCTGGCTCGTTCCGAAGCGGATGCAAGTCTTCACGTTGCACCGCAGACACTTCCTTTGTAGTTGTGCTGTTTGAGTTTTTCTGTGCACAGGGTGGAGCAGGGTCTGGATTCATTTTTCGGTGTGGGGTGTCCCAGTATTTTCCCTGTGCTGTCCATCTTGGTCCTCTGCCGTCCACGGCATGCCGCCACTGCACGCAGGCTGTCCTGGGCTGACGTCCGTTGCTGACCCCACATGGTTTTGGAGTCTCTCCGCCAGCTCTTGCATTGTAAGATGTTGACTGTTAGAGAAAGATCCTGGTTTCATTCTTCAGAATCGTCATAGCGTTTCTGGTCCCTTACTCTTTGTTGTGAATTTAAGACGAGCTCATCAGGTTCCACTGACACTAAACCTGCGGGGTCTCAACCGGGGGTTGCCCCACTGGGCCGCAGCTTTACGCTCAGGGCCACCTCCCTGAGCAGGTGTCCCCCGGCACCGGCCACGCTCTCCACCCTGCAGCCATTCCTACGGTGAAGGTCTTGCACATTCTTGCTAGATGTGGTCCTAGGACCTTAGTTCCTCTTGCCTTGGTGAGCAGGATCTTTTCTTCCCTATTCCGTGTCCCATTTGGTGTGAGTGACGTGTAGGGAGGATTGTGACTTCTGCCTGTTGAGCTGGAGTCCAGCAGCCTTGCTGGACTTCCGCCGTGGTTTGTACTCTGACGTGTCTGTCCTTTGTAGGTAGTCATGTCTGCAGATAGACACAAATTTATAGTTTCCCTTTTAACTCTCTGCTTTGTGCCTGTGTCTCAGCTGCCTGGTAGGAGTGGAGTAATGTTTGTTAGGGTCCACACCCGCCCTGCTGCGAGAAGGAAGTGTCCTTACTGGTTTGCCAGGGTGCATGTTGTTCGTGGGTGAGGACTTGATTTCGTGGGTGCCCTGGTGCATGTATCAGGTGGCTGCATGGTCTCCTGGGCTGTCAGTGTGGCAGATTATGTCCAGAGCCTCTGGGCTTGGCTTCTCCAATGGTCGTGGGTGGGGCCTGTAAGAGTGTCCTGAGCCTTTGAGCCTTCCACATGGCAGTCTTGGTGATGATGACTGGGCTGGGAAGAGGCATCATCACGTGATCAGGGACCAGGGCCAGAGCCACGGGAGCCTCCCGGAGATTTTGGGTTGCTGTCTGCCAGCCCCTGCTGCCCACAGACGTGCAGACCAGCTTGCCAGACACCCGCACCTGCTTTCTCACCTGGCGGAGTGTAGAGATGAGTTTAGAGCCAAGTGGGCCTACCTCGGTTGTCTTTTGTCTTTTTAACAGCCTTACTGAGATACAGTTCACATGCCGGGCAGATCATACCGTGTGGAATCGTTCGCTATGTGGCTTTTGGGTCTGGCTTCTTTCACTGAGCTTACACCTGTTCGTGTTGTAGCATGCATCAGGCTTCACTCCTCTTTGTGGTTAAATAATATTCCGCTGTCTAGATAGACCACATTTTTCATCCCAGCATATCCGCTATTTGATGAAGCTGTCGCTTCCTGTGGGGCAAAGCGGCAGGTCCTGTGGCCTCCGGTTAAGTTCAGAGGTTGCGGATGAGGCATGTTCTGGCTCACATGGGGTAGCAATTGGACCGCCAGCCCACATCTCCCAGTTGTGTGTCCTTGCTCACTCAGAACTGCAGCCCGCATGGCTTTTTCTCTGCAGAGAAAAGAGTGGCGGCAGCAGGCGGCCGCAGTATTTAAGGGCCTTGGTCCCCAAAAGTCTGTGGTAAATATGACTAATGACAATCCCTGAGTCTTCTGGTGGAAAGTCACTCAGAATCCCCAGGCCTCATGTCACTGAGGAGCCTCTGCAGGCGCAGTCGCCAGATCAGGGCTAAGAAATGGTGTTTTAGGCTTGTTGGTTTCTGTTTTGGAAGCAGGATCCCTGGCTGGTGTCTCGAACCCTCCCCTCCTCTTTCCTGGAGTCTGCCGGGAGACTCACAAGACTCATGTGCTGTTCTCTCTTGGACACAGGGCAGCGGAGCCCAACGACTTCCTGACGCTCTTCCAGGGCAGCCCCGACAGGACAAAGAGGCCAGCCAGTGTGAGCAAAACTTCCAGCGAGAGGGGAGCCACGTGGAACGTGCTGGTGAGGCCCCGAGTCCTTCTCCCCTCGAGGACCGTCACCTGCTTCCTCCTCTGTTCTTTCTGCTTCTGCAAAGGGGGCTGTGTCTGCCGGTGCCCCTGGGTCATCCCATCTGCCTTGTGTGTGGGAAGCCAGGGGCTCCTCCATTTGTGGGTGAGGCAGGGCAGGGCCTGGTGTCCAGGTCACAGGCTGAGGCAGTGCCCGCATGACCAACAGGATGACCAGCCCAGGGGCTTTGCTGTGCCTTCTACTGCTCTGAATTCCAGTGCTCTCAACTCACCTGTGGGCCCACGGAAGAGAGAGAGCACCGTGGCACTGGCTCCTACCTTCACTGCCAACAACAGGTACGATCTGCTGCACGTGCCAGGCTGGGGGCTGTGTCTGTCTTTGTCTTGTTCCTGGCTGGTCCAGGGACCTTGGAACGAATGAGTGAATGAACAAACGGCTTTGGTCCCCTGGAGAAGAGGGGCGTGTCCTGCATACAAGGGACTGTAGGGCTGTTTGAGGAAGGGACTCAGCTTTGTTCCTGAGGAGTGTCAGGCTGGGGCAGGCTCTGGCTGGGCTACAGGTGAGTTTCAGAGGCTCATTGGGAGCTTGAGCTTCGAGGCTCTGTGAGTCTCTAGAGTTAGGGAGCATGTCACCTCCAATGCCCCAAACCCGCCCACCGCCTGCAGGGGTGGTCTGCGTCAGGGCTGCGCCTGTCACTGCTCGGAGCCGTGGACATATCAAACCAAAAGCACATCAGGAGTGATGGCCAGGATGGTGGGGCCGGGGAAGCACTGTGTGGGCCATGGCCTTGGCTGACAGGTCCCCCCTGGTGGTCAGAAGGGGGCCTGGAGAAGCCCCAAGAGAAAGCGGACTCAGGACGGACACCTCTGAGCCTTGAGAACAGCATGTCCTTGCTGTAGGCCTCAGTGGGACTGGGGGCACATTTTGCCTCCAGCATGTAGAGCTGCCATTAAAGAGCCAGGCTTTGAGGGGGTGCTGGTCAGCTGTCCCCAGAGCTGCACAGGAAGGATTCCTGCTTCTGATGGGAGATGTAAGTTAGATTTTAGTTCTGACGTCTATCAGAGTGATATGTGCACACAGCTAAAACGCTGATTGGTGGCTGCCACAGCTTAAGATGAAACGGCAATCCCGCTGGCTCCCCCTCCCGGAGTCCTGCCCCCCAGGAACAGCCACTGTCAAGCTGTTTCTTCCGGTGTTTTCTGGAAAACATTTGTAAGTACATGCTAATGCTGCTCACTCTTGAGCAGCTCAGACGCAGCCGTGGTGGGTCTGTTTACACCGCTGGCATCGGCAAGTGCTGCAGATCAGAGCACCCTCCCCTCACAGGGAACTGCTGTGAGGCACGCTCCTGTGCAGGCTGGTACTAAGCGCAGCTCTTTTTAAACGTTGCGTTCTCTGCTGAGCCTCATTTCCGTCACATTCTGTTTGGGTTTTGGCCTTTCACAGTTCGGTCTTTCCCCAAATGTCTGGTGATACTGACTAAGAGGGAGGCCCTAAAAGTTGACTGGAAGCCATTGCCTGGTGATTGTGTGGGGACCAGGCTGTCAGGGTCCCCACTTGCAGGTGTAGGTTCCTGGCTGCCAGCAGTGCAGTGAGTGGGGAGGGATGGCTATGTCCTGGCGGGTACACGGACTCCCTCTGCATGGCAGAGCTGGAGTCTCTGCCCCTCCTGGAATCTCCCCTCCTCTGGGGAGGGAGGGGACCTGCCAAGCTGCTGCCTTTGCCAGAGGATGTGCGCCAATTCTCCCTGCACTGGGAATGGCCAGTGCCCCCTGGGGTCTGGCGCAGTGCGGCCACAGTGCTCAGATCCTCTCCCGTTCCCTTCGATCTTGGCATTCACACCGTTTTTATTCCTGTCCGTGGGTCTCTGCAAGGGGAAGGGGGAAGAACATGTGTACTCCACCTGTCGGATTTGGCAGGGGATGGGAGGTCCTCTCCATGTTTCTGTGAGTCTGCTCTACAGGCTGACCGTTGACCATGGTCTGTGACCTGCCCTGCCCGTGGAGGCTTGTCCAGTGTTCACACCTTGAGCTCTGTCCTGGTCTCAAAAAGGGCTCTGCCATTGGGCACTGGCAGTGGAGGGACCCCTTGGGACACTGGGATGCTGCAGTGTGATTGGGGGTCTCAGTGGCCACCCCCGAGTCTGAGCTGCTTCCCGTCCCTTCCGGCAGGAGCAACAAGGGGGCTGTGGGCAACTGCGTCACCACCATGGTGCACAATCACTACACTCCCTCGGAGAAGACGCCCTCTGTCAAGAGCTCCAACCAGGCGGCCCCCTCCCTCAAGTAAGGTGCTGTCGTGTGGCTGGGGATGGCTGGGGCGTGGCACACAGCTGACACACGCAGGCTCCCTGCTCCTCATGCCGCTGCCCTCTCCTGCCCGCAGGTCAGGGTGGGCAAAGCCTGGGCCTCACGCCAGGGTAGGCTTCTGCTGAGGAAGCCGCTGTTCACATCCAGAGCCAGGCAGTGTCAGGGTGGGGGTTGGTCAAACTGAGCTGAGGAGCCCCCTGTGCCCACCTCGCTGTCCCCCCCCGCCACCCTGAGTTGGAAAACCTGGGTGTCTTGAGTTGCCTTCTAGCTCTGGACTCCTGTGACTTTTGAGAACTTTTTGCTTTTTTATTTTTTGTGTGTGTGGTTCTGGCGGCTGGCTGGTATAGGGATCTGAACCTTGACCTAGGTGTCATCAGACCACACTTTTTGCTTTTTAAGTGTATGCACTTGCTCACCCTGCATGCCAGCCGATGGGGGTGCAGGTGGCCCCAGGGACCTGCAAAGTGCAGCAGAACAGGCGGCCCCACACACTGTGCAGGCTCCCCTGGCCGCCCGCCCGCAGCACCTCCCTTGGGCCTGAACCCTGGGACAGCTTAGGGACCAGCCACCCTGGTGCCCGTGGGCAGAGCTGATCCCCTGGGCAGTGAGGCGGGGGCTCCTTTTTCTTCTTTCCCATTAGCAACATCATCAAGGCAGCCACTGGCGAGGGCACTGAGAGTGGGGGCCTTGGGAAGCCTCAGAAGAACGTCTCCAGCAGCAACCGCTCGGGCCGGAGCAGCGCCATGGGCCTGCCCCGGCGGCAGGAGGTGACCGAGGAGGAGGCTGAGAGGTGACTGTTCTCAGGGAAGCGGCGGGGGAGGGGTGCGGGCAGAGTCCAGAAACCGGGGTCAGGGAAGGGTCTGGGGGCCTGAAATTGCTGTGATGGAAATTTCTGCCCAGTAGTCGTTTTAAGATGCTGAGGCTGAAAAGACCACATATGAAATGGTTCTGTGCATGTAAACATCAGGAGAAGGCACATCTGTGGAGATGGAAAGTAGAGCGGTGGTGGCCTGGGGCCGAGCGGGGCGGGAGGCTGCAAAAGGGCTCTTCTGGGGGTCATGGAAGCATTCCAGAGCTGGGTGGTGCTGATCATCACATAACTCCGGAAGTTTGCAAAAAACAATTGAATTGTACACTTGAAGTGGGAGGATTGTACAGCATGTAATTTATACTTCAATAAAACTTAATTAAAAAAATGAATGGGAAAGAACATATAAAACGAAAAAACAAACAAACAAAAAAACCTATGGGGCTGTGTCCTGGAAGCTCACCCTTGGGAGGGTGGGCTCTGGCGGAGCCTTTTGCAACCAGGACGTTGTTCCTGGTCAGGACGGCTGCTGTGGACGCCCCCACCTGCCCTGCTGTCCCGGGCTGGGGGCAGCAGACCCCTGGAAGTAGGCGGTGGGAGCGAGAGGCAGGGGCCGGGGCGGGAAGCCAGGAGCTCACTTGGACAGGCCCCTGGCTGGGAGGATGGGCCTCTACAGAGCTGGGACCTCACGCAGGTGACCGTTTTCGTCCTGGGCTCTCTCTCAGCTCTTTTTCTGAATGAATCCTCATGTAGTCCCAAGAGCCAAGGTTAAGGGTTTTTTTTGTTGTTTAATCAATTTTATTGTACTTTACTTATACACAATAAAATGCACCCGTTAAAAGTGTACAGATTTGACATGTGTGTACGGTGGCATCTACAGATATGATATACCAAGATCCAGAACATTCTGGCACCCTCAAGATTCTCTTGACCTCCTTTTGTGTGACACCATACCACCGCAGTGCCCGCCTGTTTCTCTCATGGCCTTGCCTTTTCCAGATGCCCCAAGAGGGAGCCACAGCCTGTGGCCTTCCGTGCCAGGCACATGTCACTGGTTTGTTGCTTTTTGCTGGAGTGTTGTGTCCTGTCGTCTGGATGTAGCACAGGGTTTGCCCTGTAGCCACTCAGTGGTGTTTGGGTTATTTGCAGTTGTGGCTATTACTCCTAAAGCCAAACAAGTTTGTGTGGACAGACCTCTTTCCCCGGGTAGCTTCGTGGGTAGGTACCACATTTTAACCGAGTAGGTCCAGTTAGGCTGGTGCCGCCACGTCACAGCTGCATGGAAAGGACTGTCTGTGTGTGGCCGCGACTTCTGTCTTCCAGTGGACCTTCCCTCGGCAGCTGCCTGGCTCCTGCAGGGGTGTGGCTGGCATGGGGGCCCCCCTCTTGGTCCTGAGCCCTGCTCTCTGGGCAGGTTTATCAACCAGGTGAACCAGGCTGCTGTCACCATCCAGCGCTGGTACCGCCACCAGGTGCAGCAGCGCCAAGCAGGAGCTGCCAGCATGGACCGCCTGTTGGCATCCAAGCAAGAGGTCAGTGTGGGTGTGGGAGCCCTGCCAGGCTCCCCCAAGCGGGGGACTTAGTCCCAGGGGTCTGAGCTGTGTGCAGGTGGAGTTTCTGGGACAGGTAGAGTTGAAACCTGGAACTGCCCATAGGCACACACCCCATTGGTGGACCTGCTTGGCCTCGTTGTGACTGTCGTTAGGGCCTCGATGTCAGGAAATGCCTGCTGGGTCCCTCCCAGGCTGAGGGCCTCAGGAGGATGCTCTGGCGGGTTCCTCACTGGGTTGAGAGCTGTCTGCCCCCTGCTGGAACCACCAACTGCCTGAGCTTAGGCTTGTCCTCTGTAGAGCAGAGAGGTGGCGGTTCAGGGCCCTGGTGGGCCTCACCCTCTCCCTGTCCCCAGTGGAGAACGCCCAGGCATCACGTAGAAACCTCTGCTCTGGGTCCAGGGACTCAGTCTTCCAGATCCATAAACCGCCATGGCTTTGGTTTTTCTGCAGGAGCAGCGGCTGCTGCTGAGAGAGGGGACCCTGCTGGACGTGCACCGGGAGAGGGAGGCAGCAAGGAGGAAGGCCCGCGAGGAGAAGGCCCGCCAGGCCAGGCGAGCAGCCATTCAGGTGCCCGGGGAGACCTGAGCAGGGACTTCTGAGCAGCCCCCATGGGCCCAAGAGCGGCTCAGGCCCAAGTCTACTGCATGTGATGCCACTGCTGGGGACTCAACCAGCCCCTGGATGTGGGGGCTCACCCAGGCCCTGGACGTGGAGTCTCCAGGCAGCTTGGTTGGGGGAGGGGGAGGGGGCCATGCTCTTCCAGGGGCGGGGCAGCTGATCAGAGATGCCCCCATGGCAGGAGCTGCAGCAGAAACGAGCGCAGAAGTCAGGGGATGCCAGGCTTGGGCTGTCCCAGGAGACCAGAGCACCAGGGAAGCCGTGGCCTGCTCAGGAGCCCCCGAAGCGGGGTGTTGGCGCCTGCCAGGCCCTCAAGGCCAACAACAGCAGTGAGCGTGGCTCTCAGGGTGTGGTCTGCCCCTCCCTGCTGCCCTCCCTGCCTTGCCGCCCCAGCTCCGTGTACTCTGCCACACACAGACACTTCCATCCCTCTGGTGTCCCTGCTCCCCCAGGGTCACTTCCACCAGGGAGGGCTGTGGCCAGTCAGAAGGCACGGCTTCTGCTGACATCCCCTTGGCCCCCTGGGCTGCTGCCTGGGTTGGTGGCTTCCACCTGCGGAGCTGGGGGCCTCAACCCTGCAGCAGACCCTCACCTACCTCCATTCCTGTCCAGCTTATAGTCTTAGACATGAGAGACCTGACAGAGTGGAGAGGGCCAGGCTTCTGGGGTCATAACAGCTCCCCCTGACCTTACACCCTGGAAGGCCAGAGCTCCTCAGCATCTCCTGTGCTCTTTGAAGCCCACACCTCTGCTCCCATGCCTGGCTTCTTCCCAGGGCTCCTCCAAATGCACTGCCTTGGCTGGGACAATTCTGTGTTCTGTCCTGTAGGTGCCATCTCCCTCACCGCAGGCCCCGGGGACCCCTGCCTGCCTGCCTCTGACTCATCCCCGGAGCCCCAGCAGTCTCCAGAAGACAAGCTGCAGGTCTGGGCACAGCCGCCCTTCTCTCCCACCCAAACTTGAGCTCCATGGGGTGCTTCCACACCAGGGGTGGCCCAAGTCTGCCTTTTCCCTGCCCCTCTACAGCCGAGGGGGTTGCTCATGTCTTGAAAGGCCACCCAGCAAGGGTCGTCTTGCACTGATGTGCAGCCCTCACTGGGAGGGGTCTCCCGGAATTACTCTGGAATCCTACTGGGTTTTCACAATTGCCCTGGGGTGGGGTGGCCCTGTGTCCTCATCCATAGGAGCGGAGCAGGAAGCCCAGAGCAGTGAGGCCGGCGGGAGCAGCGGGCTGCTCAGTGGCAGGGCCAAGGGGGATGCACCTGCCTGTTCTCTTGGGCAGAGCTCCCGGGTGGGTCGGAGTGGCCATAGAGGGCGGGCAGGGAGGGCCGAGCTGTGGCCTGGCCTCTGCGCTGTGGTCAGCCTCGTGCGGGGGGCTGCACCTGCCTGTTCTCTTGGGCAGAGTTCCCGGGTGGGTCTGAGTGGCCATAGAGGGCGGGCGGGGAGGGCCGAGCTGTGGCCTGGCCTCTGCACCGTGGTCAGCCTCCCTCGTGCGGGGGGCCTGCCTGAGGCCACTCACAGCCTTGCTGGCATCTCCCTGCCCGTCTGCTGCCGTACGTTTGCTCCCAGGCTGGGGCTAGTGAGGACCTGGAGAGAGTGGGCCCCACCCAGAGCAGCGCCCAGTCCAGGGCGACACTTGACGAGCTGCTGGACACACTGAGGCTGCTGGAGGCAGAGCCGGAGCCACTGGCCCACCCCAGGGCCTACCACAAGGACAGATACGCCTGGACTGATGAGGTAACCACAGCCATGTGCTCCCTCGCCCCAGCCCAGGCACCAGTGCCAGCAGGTCAACAGGTCACTGTGGGGGCGGGGGAAAGGGTGCCCCTGGGCTGCTCTTTGTTGTAGTCTGAACCCCAACAAGGGCCAGTTAGGGACTGCTCCCCCTGATTCCAGGCCTCCCCAAGGTTAGAGTAACCCATGGGGGGTTCCTCCTCACTGCCGTAGTGCCCCCGCACCGTGCCCCTTGAGGGTCAGGAGTGGCCTGAGAGGCCCTTCCTTCCAGAGCCAGGTCCCAGCTGCCTGCCTCGGCTTCCCCTCCCCACCCTACTGCACCCCTGCCCTCCCTGGCAGAGCCCCACCTGCCCCCAGGTGGACCCTGATTCCTTGGGCTGCCCTAACAGTCCCCAGTGCTGGGTCCCCTGCCCCACAGGAGGACGATACCAGCTCCCTGACAGCTGACAACCTGGAGAAATTTGGGAAACTCAGCGCACCCCCCGAGGATGGGACGCTGCTGTCAGCAGCCAAGCTGCAGAGCATCCTGAGCTTCCTGGATGAGATGGAGAAGCCTGGGCAGGACCGGCCTACCGCCCCGCGGGAGGTGGTCACTCGCCTCGCCCCTCAGGGCTCCCAGCAGGGGTGGAGGCGGTGGGACCCCTCTTTGGTGGGTCACCTCGACCTCCTCCAAAAGCCCTGTCCAGGTGGATGCTCCCGGCATCCCCTGGGCTGTCCTGGGTGGACACAGTGGCCGGGCTGAGGGGAACAGTTACATGAATTTGGTATCATGGGGGCGGGAAGCGACTGTCACTTTTTTAGGGGTTGTTTTTGGTCTGTGGCCGCTGCTCTGTTCTGTAGCAGACAGTGGAACAGCCTCTGCTGGGGTTGGACATTCACCCACCACATTGTGCCTCTGGCCAGATCCTCTGATCTGAGTGGGGGCGGGGAGGGGAAACGAGGCTCCTCACAGAGGGGACTCATGTCACACCCTTGGCCACCTACTGGTCATCAGCCAAGTGGGTGGTGGGCCACCGGCTGCCTGCCTGACTCCCGGCCACTTCCACAGGGGCCAATGCTGGAGGCGGCGCCCGAGGCAAGTGCGTTGGTTCCACGGCTGAAGCTGGAGGTGGAGGAGAAGAGGCAGGCGCTGGCGCTGCTGCAGAGGGCGCTGGTGAGGCTGCCCGTGCCCTGTCCCCAGGGCCACTGGTCGGAGTGTGGCCCTGCCAGCCCTGCCTGAGGGGCCTGGGCCAGGCTGTTCTTTGCCGTCTCCTCTGCGCAACACCTGGTGATGGGCCTGTGGCTGGGACCCGGTACCAGCGCCTGCCTTCTCCTGTCCACACTCTGCAGACACAGCAGCGGGACCTCACCATCCGGCGGGTCAGGGAGACGGAGAAGGAGCTGAGCCAGCAGCTGCAGCAGCAGAAGGAGCATTACGAGGCCACCGTGCAGCGACACCTGGCTTTCATCGACCAGGTGACCCCTCCCCACTGCCAGAAACCGTGGATGGAATGGGGGTCTGAGGACAGGGCTCCAGCCCAGCACGTGTCTCACAGAGACCTACAGAGCCAGGGCCTCCCCTGCTGGGATGAGGTCGCCTCAGTCAGGGTTCACACGGGCAGGGCCGCAGCACAGCAGCCTCACTGCCTGCCTGCTCTGGTCACAGCTGATTGAAGACAAGAAGGTCCTGAGTGAGAAGTGTGGGGCCTTGGTGGCCGAGCTGAGGCAGGGGGACCAGAGGTGGAAGGAGCAGACGGCCCAGATGCAGGAGCGGCACGAGCTGGTGAGCTCTGCTCCCGCCCAGGCAGGGATGGCCAGGGTGGCCTCGCGTCCACTCCCGCTCACGCTTCCTGCCGCCTGGCTCCCTCACCCAGCGGGCTCTCAGGTCCCCGCTCAGCCAGGCAAGGTCCCCCAGAACAGGGCAGGACTCAGGATCCTCAGAGCATGGGGGCCATGGGGGCTCGTGAACAACTGACCCCGGGCCCCAGCACCACCTGAGGATATGGGCCAGTGAGTGGGAGGAGGGACGTCACCCAGGATCAAGCTCTGTCACCTCCATCCACCCCCATTCTCTCCAGCTGCGCTCCAGGTGCCCAGTTGGGGCCAGGCCCTGGGCCAGGGGCTGTGGAACTTATATGAGCTCCTGCATCCCCATGTCACAAATGAGGACACGCGATGCCCGCTGGGCCACAGCCTGGCTCTTCCCGCAGAGCCTGATCGCAGCCCACCCAGAGTCATGTCCCAGGCACAGGACCTGTTCTTTTTCCCCAGCTCTCGTCTGTCGAGGACCAGCTCCCAGCCTCCCTCCCGCTTTGCCTGCAGGAGGTGGGCCTCCGCCTGTCCAGCTGGGCTTCCCACCAGACTGGGCAGTGACAGTCCCTGAGCCCAGACTCTGGAGTGGTGGCACTAGCATTTTAAACACCCCACCCCCCGTGACCATGACCAACAGCCAGGGTTGAGGGTCAGTGGTCACCAAGAGAACGGCAGGCTCTGGGGTGGTCCTGGGGGGTCAGCAGCACCCCTCTCTGGGGCAGGGCTTCCTCACAGGCCGATGGCCGCCCACCGCACTGTTACCCCCTCTCCCTCACTGGCTTCTCAGTGTAAGGGGTGTGTGATAGGAATGGGCCCGGGCCTATATCCCGGCAGAGGGGCCCTGGAGTGTGTGCCCCGAGGGGCAGCGCGTCACAGAAACGCTCTTGTGCCTTCCTGTGGGGGACCTGGAAGCCAAGGCCCTTCCCTAAGCCTGTGGGGCATCTTCACTTTCCGGCTTCCTGTTTTTTTTGCTCATAGGAGATTAAGAAACTCAAAGAATTAATGAGCGCCACTGAAAAAGTCCGCCGGGAGAAGTGGATCAATGAGAAAACCAGAAAGATCAAGGAGATCACTGTCAGAGGTGGGGCTGTCCCGTCCCAGGAGGTGGGCATTCGTGGGCCGGTGGGGGTCCTCCAGCCAAAGGGGTGGGGGGCTGTAGAGAGAAAAATGCTTCAGTCCCACATGTAGTATGAGACCTTCCACAAGGGGAAATGGACTCACAGCGAGGCCAGAGTCCCCACAGCCTCTGCTGTGGTCTCTTAAGAAACCCTGGGGCAGGAGGAGGTGCCTGGCACCCGCAGTGGCCCGAGCTGGGCGTGATAGGCCCCTCACAGTCCCTGGGGTTGCCCTGCAGAAATCAGGTTAGTGGGTGACTGTGGCACGTAGGTCACACCAAAGGAATTTCAGCTTGATGCTCACAGGCTGGCGGGTGTCGTGTCTGAAGGAGCCACAGACCCTCGGGTGGTGTTCTCCAATGGTCAGAGCAGCCAGGGGACCAGCACGGATTCCTCCAGGACCAGGGTGTCCAGGGCAGGGGGTGGCATCTGTTTTTGCCCCACTGTGTGCATATCAAACTCAGCCATGTTCCGGATCAGAACCCCAGACGTGGCTGGGGTGGCTGGGCCCCCTCGGGGGACCAGAGACAGGGCAGTGTTTTGTAGTAGGGTTGGACTTCTCAGGCTTCCCCTGGGTAGACCATGGCCCCAGCCACTGTCACGGTGGATGGGGTCGGGTGGGGGTCTGAGGTCCCCTACAGCATGGTGCCCCTGCCCTAGGACTGGAGCCCGAGATCCAAAAGCTGATTGCCAAGCACAAGCAGGAGGTGAAAAGGCTCCGGAGCCTGCACGAGGCGGAGTTGCTGCAGGCGGACGAGCGGGCCACGCAGCGCTACCTGTGCCAGGCTGAGGAGCTCCGGGAGCAGCTGGAGCGGGAGAAGGAGGCACTGGGCCAGCGGGAGCGGGAGCGGGCCCGGCAGCGGTGGGTGTCTGCGCCTCTCGGGCCTCAGCTGGGGATTGGCAGGGCTGGGATGCACCAGGACCCTCAGTGCGAAGCTGGGGACCTGTCCTATTTCTGGGGCTGGGGTCTCAGTGCAGTGTCCAGGGAGGGTGCAGGAGGCCATGGTTCCAGAACAGCAGCGGCCTTTGCAGGGCCACCGAGGGCCCCTGTCTCCTCCTCAGCAAAGGTCGGTCGGTTTTGAGGGGCTCGTGTGCATCCCCACCAGGCTGGGGTTGTGTACGTGTGGGGGTGGGTTTGTCGGGCTCATCAGATACCCCTCTGTCAGAGCTGGCCGTGATCAGCTGACCCCTGGGCAGGCAGCATCAAGGCTCCTCCGGCTCTGACCTTGGTGCCTGACGACAATCTGTCTCACTCATTCCCTTGGCCCAGGGTGGGAGCTCACTCAGCACTGGCAGAGGTGTGACAGGCTGCTTCCTGCCACTCTCAGGCCCTAAGATTTGGGGGCCGGGGACAGGGCCGTGACGGTCAGTTTTCACAGGCAGCAGTGTCTGGCGGGCAGCCCCTACTGTACTGCTGTGCCTCCAGGACAGACCCTCTCCCCAGGGGGGCTAAGGACACGGGCTCTGGGCTGGTTGATTATCTCAGTGGTCAGAGCGTAGAGCTGATTACAGCAAGGTCCAGGGCCCATTCCTGTACTCATCGGCTGCAAAAAACAAAATAAATGCATATGGGTCTTGGTGCAAGCTGGCTCAGGTCAAGGTCTAGGCACCTGGCATTGTGCATGAGAGCAGAGGTGGCGGGTTGGGGCCCACACATGCCCAGCTTCCCACCCTCCTTGTCCCTGGGCTGTGCCTACTAGGCGAGGGTGCCAGAGAAAGCTCGGCCTGCTGAGGCCATTGCACATGGGCCTGCGGCTCAAGGACTTGTGTGGGTCAGCCGGTGGGCACTCGCTGTGCAGAGGACAGGGGTGCTGCTCGTGAGCTCTGAGCCGCACTCTGCCCCAGTCCAGGATGTGGCTGGGCCTGTGTCAGTGCGGTGTGAGGGTCCGGGGACCACCCAAGCCTGCCCACGTGAGCCAGTCCCGACCACCCTGCAGGTTTGAGCAGCAGCTGGAGCAGGAGCAGCGGGCCCTGCAGCAGCAGAGGCACAGGCTGCACAGCGAGGTGGCCGAGGAGAGGGAGCGGCTGGGACAGCAGGCAGCCAGGTGCCACGGGCCCTCCCCACTTCTCCTGGCAACCCCTCTCCTGACCCAGTGTCCCTTCTCCCGGAGACCCCTCCCCCGGCCCACCAACCCTTCCCCTGGAGACTGACCCATCCCCCAGCTCGCTGACCCTTGTCCCCTGTCCTGTCCTGTCCTGCAGGCAACGGGCAGAGCTTGAGGAGCTGCGGCGGCAGCTGGAGGAGAGCAGCTCGGTGCTGACCCGGGCCCTGAGGACCGAGTTTGAGAAGGGGAGGGAAGAGCAGGAGCACCGGCACCAGGTCTGCCGCAGCGCTGCACTGGGCCCGGGTGCTGAGTGGCTTGTGGCCCTGGGTGGGATGTGGCTGATGGGACTGGCTCCTTCACCCTCTTGTCCCTCCAGTCGGAGCTGAAGGCCCTGAAGGATCAGCTAGAGGCAGAGAAGCAGGCGTGGGAAGCCGGATGCGCCAAAAAGGAGGTGGGGCCCAGCAGGGGTGGGGCGCGGCGTGTACCAGGTCTGCTTGTGTGGCCTCCCTGGGGCTTGGTGCTGGGTACCACATTTGGCTGCTGTGGGGCTTGGTGGTCTCATTCTGAGCAGCTAAGGCTGTGGCTGCTCTCAGTCGTCCTTGATGGGCTCCGGAAGGATCTATGAGCTTGGGAACCAAGAAGGAACAGAGGAGCTTGGGGGCAGATCCTGCGGTCAGAGAGAGCATGCGTGTCGTCTGTTCCCTGGCCCGATGATGGCTCTGCCCACGCTCTCCGCAGTTCAGCGCCCGACGCTGAGACGTGTGCGAGAAGGAGGCCTCTCTCCAGCCTTCGGTGCCTTCCTCAGGGGTGGACTGGACAGGCACAGGGGCCCACACACGTGTTCTGACTGCCCGTGCCTGTCGGCTGGTTTAACCCTGACGGGCCAGGCTGTCCCCGGCAGTGGCCCAGAAGGATCTCCCGTCCACTCCCTCAGCCACTCCTGTGGTGGCCTCCTTGGGCAGGGCCTTCTGCATCTGTAGGGTGGTCCTGAACGTGGGCTGGGGCAAAGAGTTAAACTTGATGGGAGTTTCCAGGTTGCTTCCAAGAGGCTGCCCCATTTATGCCCCAAGGCCCCGCCCTCAGCAGCAGGGCACGCTCCCTCCTTTTACCGCTCATGTCTGGTGTGGAAGGTGGCATCTGGCCTCAGCACTTCAGGGAGAGGAGCATCGGCTGTGCCAAAGGTCTCCTCAGACCTGCTCAGTGCCCACCCTATGCCCTTTCTGTGTGTACCATGGTCCTAATGAGAACTGGGGACCTGGGGCAGGGCAAGACCCCCTTGTCCCTGGTGGGAGCAGGGGAGCCCTCGAACAGCCTGAGCAGTGGTCCCCAGTCAGTGCTGTCCCTCCAGGAGGCGTGGCTGCTGAACCGGGAGCGGGAGCTGAAGGAAGAGATCCGGAAAGGCCGGGACCAGGAGATCGAGCTGGTCATCCACCGGCTAGAGGCCGACATGACGCTGGCCAAGGAGGAGAGTGAGAGGGCTGCTGAGGCCCGGTGAGCCCGCCACCACGAGCGCCGCTGTCTGGAGCCACCCAGATGAGGGGAGGGGGCGGGCAGGTGCAGGGACCAGCAGCTTGTCAAGGCCACTCTGCTAACCCTTCCTGTCCCCCATCCCCGCCCCAGCATCAAGCGCATACGGGACAAGTACGAGACAGAGCTCTCCGAGCTAGAGCAGTCAGAGCGGAAGCTTCAGGAACGGTGCCTGGAGCTGAAGGGTCGCCTTGGGGAGGCTGAGGGGGAGAACGTGCGTCTGCAGGGCCTGCTGTGGCAGAAGGAGAGGGAGCTGGAAGACCTGCGGGCGGTAAGCGGTTAGGGCTGGGGTCAGGAGCTGGAGGAATAGGGTTGGGGCTGGGGTCAGGCGCTGGAGGAACAGGGTTGGGGCTGGGGTCAGGAGCTGGAGGAATAGGGTTGGGGCTGGGGTTAGGAGCTGGGAGCTGGAGGATATGTGTGTGGCGGTCCGTTAGGGTCCCACCTGCATCTTCAGACCCTGCTCCCCTCCCACCCAGATAAATGAGCAGATGTCAGGTGAGCGGAGCAGCCTCACCCAGGTGGTCCATCAGGAGTTCGCTGACCGGCTGGCAGCCTCCAAGGAGGAGAACCAGAAGATCAAGGCCGAGCTGGCCGAGCTGCAAGCCCGCCAGAGGCTGGAGCTGGAGGAGGTGCACCGGAGGTGGGGAGCCAGGACTGGGGGGGCCGGAGAAAGTGGGTGGGGCCGGGGGGTGGGCAGAGGCTGGGGGGG